AAGCACAACCATAAAGTCTTTGTCCAGGCGCATGCAAAAATAAAATAATAAAACAAAAAGTACAATATAAACCATCTTCAGAATAAAAAATCAAATATAAACAGAGAAATTGCACAGACCGAAAATTACGCAATCTCCCGCTAAAGAGAACCATGTGTAGATTCGAAGCAGCGGGTGCTAACGCGTACGCAGGCGCCGACGTTGACGATGGTGCTCATCACGGCGTTGCGCAGGAGACAAGCCTGGGGAGGAGACAAGCACGTGGTGATGGACTGGTGTTTCCTATTCCAACATTACAAGCTCTGCTAGTGGGCAATCAGAGAGAAGTTACTCTGACTAGACACAGAGACCCGCCATCCGGTTTTAGTTAACGCACACGCAGCAAATTTTTATTATTTAACAACGCACAGGAGAAATGTCCTAACTGGCAGCAACCTGGAAGTCAAGATCAAGTGGCTATATAGTGTATACGGGGTAGCCAGTGAACGAATGGGTAGCGCGAGCAGTTGGTTTTCTATTTGAAGAAACTCGCTAGAAGGCGCTGTCTCCGTCAACGTTGCGAGGCCAGAGAGTGTAGAGCGTAGGAGAGGAGTGAGAGGGGGAGAAGACGTGCATGCGCGATTGGGTCTTAAACGTCAAGTGTAGGGGTGCCTAAAGGAGAAAAAAGGGAAGCGAGCGTAGGCTAGCTGACGCTGCCGGTGCAGTCACGCCGCACACCAGATTGAACTCGAACATAAGGTACTCCGCATATAAAAGAAATCAGCACCATACGGGAAAGATAAAAAGACAGCACGAGACCCATGTAACGGGAAGCAGAAATCGAGAATATACCCAACTATGCATAAGGCATCTTCAAAGACGGAAAAGAGAAGAATTGTACATTGTGAAAAACTAAGTTAGAACAGTGTAAAACTGAGATAAAAACAATGATAGTGAACTGTGAAAAGCATCTAGATAATGAAAGTTAACATAATAGAAACTTTGTATTCTGGGAGTGGTAGAGCGCTGGAATAAGTTGGCCGGCGTCTGAAACGGTCCATTTTATCTGGGTAACTTAAGTGAAGTCGAAAATTTATACAACTGAGAAGTAAAGGTCAGATATCATGCCATGAAATAGCTTCTAAATAAACAACAGGTCAGCGTCATTTCGTCGGCAGTGAAGGGACAGCTACGGTAATAATCTGGCAGCGTTAGAACGAGATCCAGAGTTATATCTAGTGAAACGATGGTTGTAAATGCTTATGCTTTTTCCAGATTAACTCAATAGCGTTACTGCTAGATTAAGCAATAGCGTCTGGGATCACAGATGCATACTCAAGTTGAGGAAGACATACTGCTGCGTAAAGTTTGTGGAAGGTGGTAGGAGAGCTAAATTCTCGAGAGATTCTGCAAACACAGCCGAGATAACGAAGGCCTCGCATTACAGTACATTTAGTGGGAGCAGAAAAATTCAGCATGCTATAAAAAGAACATTAAGATCACTGAATGAATAAAGCTTACATAACGACACGGTACTAACATAGTATAAAATGACGCGATGAAGTTTTTGCGAGATATACTCATGAATTTGGTCTGAGATATTTAGGAAAAGGGTATTGTTATCACGCCGTTCGAAGAAAAAACACAAATCTGACTGGGGCAAGCGAGAGTCCCTAGCCTAATGAATTTCCCTAAATATCTTTATGCCATCAACATACAACAGGAAAAATAATAATGGATTGTAAATGAAAGATTTTTAACGTTAATCAAACACGACAGTGGGCCTAATACCGACCCTTGAGGGGCCCCATTAGTCCTTTTGTACATGGAAGACGTTTGGCAATTTACAGCAACATAATATGGTTTATCAAGAAGTTATATGTGCTGGACATTCACAACAGACGAGTAAACATCAGTTTGCAAGTTCAACCAGAAACAGTGAGTGGCTGACAACGTCAAAAGCCTTGCTCAGGTCACAGAAGACTACGTCAGTGAGTCCTTTCTATGAAGTAGGTGGGGAGATTTGCGTCATGAACGTAGCAAGATTTGTGGTAGTTGAGCTGCCAGTGGGAAACACGTGTTGATTAGCAATCAATTAATTTTTTTCGCTAAGAAACAATATGTTGTGAAGAGCCGGCTGAAAGATGTTCAATTTGGCGCACAGTCGAGAAATCGGGCGATAACTAGAAACATCAGCTTTGTAGCCCGGCTTCAATACTGAAAATACACGCGCAGTTTCTTACATGCCAGAAAATGTGGAAGCATTCAGTCAGTTCTTGAATATTTTAGTAAGTACTGGATCGAATATACTGCAATAAGGCATTAGTATGGCGAAAGTAGGCCCCACGATAAGAATGGTTTTAAGCGCTTAATGCATGAGTGAATGCAAGCGATGGATCGCTAGATGTGCTAACTGCCATGTGCTGTTGTTTGATTTAAGTGCCAGACAGGATTTTTTGTAGTGCGAGGTGAAATACAAAACAGGAAGGAATAGAGTGACCGGACAGAGCGCTCAGTCCTATCACCCTATCTCTTCCTGTTTCCGTATTTTGTCTCGAGCTACATACATTCTTTCATACGGATCACCGACAAGTCCACATTTAAACTCTCGTTTAGTGCTAGAGCTTCAGGCCTTATAGGTGGATGAAAAATGCGTGGCAAAACAGTCAGCGACAGCATGCACTTCGACACCATCCGAGCCCAGTAGTCTGAAAGACTCCCCTCTTTCATTATAGACTGTTTGCGTACATACTTCTGAAGCTGACGTGGCCTGTCAGCAGCGTTTTTTTCCCTTATAATTCAATATATAAACTGTGGTTCCGTTTATACAGGCGTTCAGAGAGAGCTCAGAAAAAGCTGAGCTCTTTCTTCCACTTGCTGAATGAGAACATTTTGCCTTCCTGTGCTTGTGATCTTTATATTACAACAACAACAACAACAACAACAACAACAACAACAACAACAACAACAACAACAACAACAACAACAACAACAACAACAACAACAACAACAACAACAACAACAACAACAACAACAACAACAACAACAACAACAACAACAACAACAATAATAATAATAATAATAATAATAATAATAATAATAATAATAATAATAATAATAATAATAATAATAATAATAATAATAATAAATTGTGCGCGCACTCCGCCTCTGGATGTCTATTCACTGCGGAGTCATCAGGCGTGACGAACGACGTCTCTACGAAGAAGTCATAATAAGTTTTTTTGTTAATTGAACATTTCAATTAAAGCTTACATAGTCTAATTCCTTATTTGCAGTGCATAGCGCCTGAACGTAGCAAGCTAAAAGTGGTAGATAGCGATGTTTCACTTTCTCTTTTGTTTTATTAGTTGCTCTCCTGGTTACTTCACATGCCGTAACTCGAGAAGAAAACCCTCACCGCGAGAAACTGAAGCCACATGCCAGAGACCAAACGGAAGGCTGCTGCTCGGACATGAACATGATCTCCGCCGAAGAGCTCGAGTGGGGAAAAAGGATGCTTCGAAATATTCACCTCGCCAACGAAGCGGTCAAGGTATAAGTTTAAAAAAAACGATCCCGCAAATACTAATATACGTAACACCAAACTAGCGCGTAATATGAAAAAAATATACTATAACGGGCAAGGACCATAGGGATAATGAATGTTGATTATTGAAAAATTGTGAAACGTCTGTCTGTGTGTGTCCCAAACAAAATGATAGTGAAACTTCACCCGCTTTGTATCAGCTTAAACCAGGGCCCTATGCAAAAAAAACAAAAATAACTTGCGCTCTAAATTTTTCTAAAAAAATTGTCCAATGTCGATGCCAGACCATTCATCAGCACGTGTGTGAAAGAGTGAGAAGGTAAACACTTACGAACGAAGATCTCCATTAATGTTGCAAGTTGATGTGTCGTTTCATTAAGTTACTTAACTTGAATTCACCGCAAGTAGCCTGACAGACACAAACTATTTGTTTCTGCCAACACCCAGCATGTGTTGCGGCTATGAAGGATATTACCTAATTAGAACCTGCATTAAATTTGCTATGCCTAATACGTTACGCATTGATACCAGTGTAGGAAACAATAACGTTAAACCAAATATTTTAATTTTTGGTTCAGACGACGATAGCAAATAATGTGGAATTGGTGTGGTAGCTTATACCGAGTGGATCTGATCTAAAATGTACCTTGATTTGGGAGAATACAAATACCTTTTGCAGCAAGGAAAAAATGGTTATCCCAGTAAACTTGAGGTTACTGCAAGCTCTGCATATAAGGTGCTCCTTACAAAGCCCAACACGAGAAAATATGCAAACGCTTCACATGATACTTTGAGAAAACCTATTACGAAAAAACATAACTGGGCATTTTTCACTTGAACGACCAGGTAAAAATTGCTAATGTTGTAGCGTAAAAACCCTTGTGCAAAAAATGGGCACAAGCAGACAAAATGAATATTTTTTTAATAATAATAACATTTTTGGGTATTTCGGAGGCATTTATTTGATAACACTGAAAAAAAAGCCAGCCTTTACTAGAATCGGTGATTTTGTTTTTATACAAACAAGAGCCTGATACATTTCCGCAACGTCTGAGCTTACTAAAGCTTACCTTAGAAATATTGTTAAAAAACTCATTTTTTACAATAACAATTTTCGTACACTTCCCGCACGAGAAACGTATAAGAGCTGGCCTTTTTTTATAATACAATTGCCGTTAGATTACTACTACAATCGACAAGGACAGATGAGAACAAAAACGTGGCCGATCTCTTTATCTAGGAATCGGTATAACACTGAAGTGAAACGTGTCTTCATAGAGGTAGTTTCACGTTTCTAGCGCATTGTTTCAGCTACAGCAACCAATTGAAAAGTCCCGTGAACAAAGGCAAGTAGCTCTAAACTTGCAGCACGCTTCTCAAGCAGAAAGCACGTACAAAATTAGCATACACAGGACCAGCGTGGATAAACAACTGTCACAGCTCGACACTTAAAGCGCGCTCTTGAAACAAAAAGAAAGGCGCACGAAATCAGTGCACAAGTATATATATACACAAGACAAGTGTGAACAAGTGTCACAATTCTTACTTTGTCATGTGTCAGCAGCATGCTCCTTTTGTTAACGCGGCCGCGGCAGCGAGCGAAGTGACCGTCGTCCTCTCCCAAATTACAAGTCTGATAAGCGCTCACAGGAGAGACCGTGGAGGCGACAATCTCGGAAGTGCGCAAAACATGAGTTTGTCACGCCATCTCGCTATTGATAACACAAACGCGCTAATGTTTAGGAGCTAAAAGAACAGCCAAATGGTGTATGGTGTATATAAATGGGTTGCCGAGGGCATTCTCGTTAATGTACGTTTTGTGACATAGTGGTTAGCACCGCGCGCCTTAACCCAGAGGTTCTTGGTTCAACACCGCGCGACAGGAACTGTCCTCGTTGTTTTTTCGATCTGTTCGTATGTGTTTTACAACGTCATATTCGTGACGGAAATACGCCAGTGGAGTCGTGGTGGACAACGGCATAAAACACTCCCGTGTTAAAAGACGTAAGTGGGCGAGATCTCACACATTCTCTTGATGCTGTGATTCGCAGATTAAGCTCATTACCGATTCCGTAGAATCTAGCTTGTCAACGTCACTGCAGTGCTCGGGCGCCAGCTACAAGTACCTTATAAACGGCGTACTTGTACGCTAAGAAAGGAACAATTTCTTCCCAACATCATGTCTTCTAGGAGCCAATGCACTCATGATCAATCGCGATACTGGGCCACCGGATAAGCCCGCAAAAAATAAATTTATAGAAATTGAATAAGAAGCTTTCAGCTACCAATACAACGCAATACAATTCATTTAACGGTAGTCTTATGCCTTTTGTCCTGTAAGTCTGAGAAAGAGGCGAAATGAGAGCAAAAAATAAACAATGAAAGAAAGAGAGCCTGGATAAGAAGCAGCTCAGTGATAAATAGAATATCGCAACACAATACTTGAATGCACAGTTATGTTCAATGGCAGAAATATATGTGTTTCACAAAACTCTGTGCCAGTAAAGAATAGTAGAAACAGCCCCTGCTGTATATCCACATGCTTAAGGCTTTTTTGGCAGTGAGCAGTTTATATTGAACAATGCGTTAGCAAAAGAGCTCCGTTGATGAGCACATGTGGGAAGGAACTGTGCATCGTTGAACTCTTTCCAGCACGGTTTTCATCCCAGGTAACCACCTTTTCTTCATTTTTTTCTCGTGAAATACGTGAGTTCCACGTGTTGGATATTAAATGGCGCATATTTTAAAGGTTGTGGCAATTGGACAGAAATGACGCAACTTCATTTGGGCTTCAGTGTGACATGTTACGTTTGCTTGCTTCTGACTGCCGTCGTCCTCAACGCACGCTAGACATGAGATATTTTTATAGATATATAAGTATGACTTGCTTCTACTATGTTCATAGTGCAGGAAAGGATGTTGTATGAATAGCTAACGCTAAGGGCTATAGAAATAAAGACGTGGAGTTTCTCCGAAAGTGATCCGTAGACTACTGCAAGGTGTTAGAGAGTCTAGATCCGTGCAGCGGAGGCGAATGAGCGCATCAAGTCACGTCACACGTTAGACATGAGCGCTATTTGGCAGTTATCTTGGAAAATAAAGCACGCGTACTTTGCACACCCGTCTCGGAGGTGATACGGTGTAGAAGAGAGAGAAGTGATCCTTAAGAGAGAAAGGAAGAGAAAAGTGAGCCCCGTAACTGTCTGCTTCAGTGAGCGACACCTCAACAGTAGCTCACAAGGGATGGGGGTGAGGAGAGATAAAAGGGTGGGAGTAAACTCGCGAGACATTTGTGAGCCGGGGAGATGACGGGCCGGGTGTAGAAAAGAGGAGGAGACGTGAGGTGATAAGCCAGAGCAAGCGACAACAAACTGAGGGGATAGAAGAGATAGTAAAGATGGGAGCACGGTCACTAGAGTCCGAGGACGGGGCACACCTGCGAGAGCTCTTGTCGGCGTCGGTAGATGGCGTAGAGCAAGTCCAGTCGGTCAGAGCTACACTGTCGTTGAAGCTCGTCGGCGTCAGGAGGTGACGAAGGGCGAGCCCAGTCGGCCAGAGCTACGCTGACGCCGGAGATCACAAGCGCGCGCGCACACACACACACAACCGGTCGGCACGGAATCCAGCAAGTGAGTCATCACGGTGTAGAACGCAAGGCGAAGGGTAGGTGCCACCATCGTGTCGTTTTTGCAAAGTGTTGGAAACACTTGCCTTTTCGTGCAAGCGTTACATGGTCAGCGCAACGTGATAAACGCTACGGTCCTTATAATTACTTATGTATGCATTTTCTAGTAAGAGACACATATAGAGAATATTGATGTATTGTTATGGTGCCTCAGATATGCGCAATAATTGCTTTTTAATGGACAATCGCACAAGTATGAACGGTAAATATTTATGGGTGCTGCGGATGGGGTCAGCTGTTGGGAGTATCGTTTTGCCACTTTGGTGGCGTTTAAGGTACTGTTAAGGGCAGACAAACAGACAATTGTACAAACAGACACAGACCAAAATTTTTGCGTTGAAGGTCCCCAAGAAAGGCTATCGTCTTTAAAAAAACATCTTGATAGCAACAGCATTTTCCTGCTCTTGCTACGTCTATCGGTTACGAAAGATCAAAGCTGTGAAAAAGTATGACTGCTGCAGGTAAGACAAACAGAACCACCGGGGAAAGAACTCAGTAGACCGGTATTTCATCCGCTAGTCATCCGAAAATTTCACTTCTGCATGACAACAAATGTGAATAATTATGCGGCACAATCGTGCTGCTGTCTTTGATAGACATGCAGTAATTATTGTTGAGGTGGCAGGCCCCGCTAAAAGTTATTACATTGTCTGTCTATTACTTGAGTAAATTCCTACATAGTGGCTTAAAAAGGAACGATGATTTCTTTTGTGAGCAGTGGTGCCGCACCCACCACAGGAAACACGAATGTTTTCTGTTGTTTCCTAATACTACATCTCCGTTTGTTAAAAGGTTTTACATTTATAGTAATTAAAGTACCCAGTCTTATACAAGAAATCTTCGTAAGAGAAGATTCCAGCCTATTTCTATATTGGTCATATCACTAAAGAAGTCGCAAAGACATGGTTTGTGAAACTGACCCTGGAATATGTCCTAATTGTGTCGCGCAGCTTTCTGATATGTTAATGTGCAATAGTCGCACCTCCTGTAATCTAGTTTATTTATTACCTGATGTAATAAATCATTACGTACAAAGAACGGAAAGTGAGCAAGCAGGGAAGGGGCGACTGACAATGACAAGAAATCTGCACCTGCCTATTTGTGAGGAAAATGCAATTGAAAGATAAGTTGAAAATAGGACTAGTGGGAGGAAGAAGGAACGGAAGACTGATCAAGCAAAAAAAGACTAAAAGAAAACAGTAAAGAAGAATATAATGTGCAAATATAGGGAGCGTAAACACGTGAGGAAAACAACTATAACGAAACCTATCCATTAGACTCCTAAAGAAGTATGCATGTTTCAAATCTTAACCATTGTTCAACAAAAAAGCAAGCTTATAACTTCCGCAGTCTTGCAAGTTGTTTCAATCAGCAAATAGTTATGTATTGCAATTTCCACAGAAGTAAAAAAGAAACACAGCATGATACTGCATTTTTTTTCATATGAAAAAAATTAAGAATAAATTTCGTACTCTACTGTCTTATTGTAATGTATTGATTATACATTCTTATATGAACAATAATTTTGCGTTCACTATTTCACTGGGAGAGAACTTTCGCGAAAAGATAAATTTGAAACACTCGCACATTCTTATGGTAAAAAAAAACTTACAGTAATTTTGCCTTTGACATGTGCAGAAACTTCCCAAGAGTGCCCTCTACAGCCATGACTCAGTGTGCTACGCCAAGGTCGGCTGCTTCGATCGCCTTGGCGGAAAGTTTTCACACTCCGCTTCTAGCCCTAAGCCACCAGAAGTCATCGGCACCACATTTTCACTCTACTCGCGACTTAACAAGGATAAGCCGGTGGTACTAGACTACGCTGACAAGGCCACGTTCAACGGGACTCACTTCAAGAAAACCAAGGAACTGGTGTTTGTTATCCACGGCTTCAGTGCCTCAGCATCGAAGAAGTGGGTGCTCAGCATGAAAGAAGCCTTTTTGAATCTGGTGAGCGGCTTGAAAAAAAAAAAAAACATCAGAAAAGCGTGATTGATCTTTCAACGTGGTCGGATTGTGGCACTGGTAAAGTCCAAGTAGAAGAGGTGGCAGCTCAATCAATACAAATAATTCTAGCCTCTAGTTTCGCTACTGTGTGAACACAGGCACGTCAAAAAAGCCTTACGGATGAGCGTGAACCACTATAGTTAGGATAGAATGAACCGGATATCATTGATAGAGGCCTTCGTCCATGCAGTGGACAAAAACAGTCTGACAATGATGGCAATGATCGTGGCCTACTAAAGTCTTTGTTTTGTTGAGATATATTGTCCTCCATATAAATCTGTAGTGAAACTCTTATATTGTTGATAACTATGTAATCATGCCTGAACACGCACGTGAAACCAAGTGTGACTAACGCAGAAGCCTTAGTTAGTATGCTTGGCTCATAGTAGAACGTTTTTCTGCACTTGCAGAAGGATGTTAACCTTGTATTGGTCGACTGGAGCAAGGGCTGTAAGGCACCAAACTACATTTCGGCGGCTGCAAACTCTGCTTTGGTTGGCCGCCAGGTGTCCTTGCTGATTCAAAAACTTATACGCGCGTATCCACACACAGTGACAGCCTCAACAACCTACCTTGTTGGCTTCAGTCTTGGAGCACAAGTTGCCGGATTCTGCGGGCGCCACTTCTTCAATGCGACCAGAACCAAAATTGGGCGTCTCACTGGTATGCGTCAGATACTCGCCCTTTCTCCCTTCTAGAGCAGATGGGTAAAAACAAAAAGAAGTTGGCTAACTGATTTTTACACTGATTGTTAAAAAACTAAAAGTTTTTTCTCGCCATGAACAGGAACTTTCCATTATTTTGCAATCCGCGATTACGCAAGATTTCTTCAGGCAATGCCACCTGAACAGCACCATTGAGAGACACTTAACCAATATATACACGTGCTACGTATCTTTAGGTATACGTACTTATACAGGGTACATCGTGTTCTTCACTTACAAACTTACAAACATCCAGGTTGCAGCTGGACCATAAAATTAATTCAATAGCTAACATCAGTGGCAATACCATGCTGTGGAAAACTTGTCTTGAAAGTGGGTTGGTTTACACAACAAAATTTCAATACAGAATGTCCGTTTGCCCATCATATATATTTTGTTATTGTTTACTAGCCATACAACACAAAGGAAGGTAACAGCATCTGCTGACGAAAAAAAACCGGGATTTTCACTTGCGTTCAGCGAATGGTAGCCTAGTTTTTCCTTCAATCTTACCGGCTAACGCTACTCTTCGTGTTTGAGAATTATGAGAACCTGGCCCGAATTTTAGAGCTTCTATGAAAAAATAACGAATGATTTTACGTTAAAATTATGAAACAACTGCATTTGAGCGGTCGTCCTATTAACTAATGAGCTATTGTAACAGACGGATCACTGTCATTTAGAAGCATTTTCACTGTCTTTCTGCTTTTCAACAAATGAAGACCAAGTAAATGTCACCGTATTCCAACTTGAGAAATCCAGTTTTCTCTAAATTAACATAACACGCAACTAAGCCAAATAGTTGATCTTGAATAAGCAGAGAGTAGAATTAAACTAGGCGGTGCTGCTCCTGCTTATTGTTCATCTGTGTTCTGAAGCTATAAGCATAAGCTTGTGTACATATTTCATAAGCTTTTTTCACTGATGCAGAACACAGCCCTTTAAAGTGCGTTCTCTGCAAGCACGTGGCACAATGCATATGTTTTTCTGACACAGGTCACTTACTTTCTTCCAGCGCTGGACGCAGCCGGTCCACTTTTCGAGAACCGTGACTTCCAAGTATGCAAAGATGATGCAGAATATGTAGATGCTATCCACACGAGTGCCGGAAATAAAATTCTTGCAGGACTACTCGGCATCGGGAGTCCCTTTGGCCATGTCAACTTTTATCCAAACGGTGGAAAATCGCAACCTGGTTGCTGTTTTTTTGGTAAGCATGCCTACACTTTAAACTTGTCGTGTTTTTTTTACATGCAACAATTTTTATTTCTTCAATACTGCTGATGCATCTATGAAAGAAAAGTTGTGGTACCAAACTATACAGGACAGTTAGAGATGCTACGGCAGCCAACAGTCATCGAAATTGGCAGTGCTATAGGCTAAAATCTACAGGGACCCATTGAGATAACGGCAATGTAACACACAAAACAAGAGTTGCGTTCAAAAGGGTCTTCGCAATAGTGCATTGTCTGTTGGTCAAATCTGCATCATGACTTTCTCCCCCATCGGCTCTGGGTGTCATAATACTTACCAAATGCATCACAATGAGAGGTGAATCCTAAAAACAGCGAATACTCATGAACTTCTTCTGAATGTCATCGTAATCAGTGCACAAAAAGCACACGAAAGCACAAGGAAGTGCACAACACAAGCGCTTTCAGTAGTAAGAAAAAAAAAACAGTGCTTGTGTCGTGCACCTACTTGTGTTTTCGTGTCCTTTTTTTTTGCGCTGATCATCATCAGTATGTTTCAACTTGGCCCATTGGCTATTTCCCCCTTTTCAAACACCTTTTTTAACAAAAAATGACAGTTTTTTTACAAAAAAAAAGTCTCACAGCTATGACACGTCAACATGATTCTGATATTTATCCTAACAGCAATATCTGAGGGCGAACAATTTACGTTTCCATGTCACTTATGGGAGTTTACAAGAAAGACGACGTTAACACTCCGCCATCTGTCCATTTTCATATCCTTATTAAGGAAGGAACATACATTTGCAGATTTAGCATTGCAGCCTATAGCGACTTGAGGTTCATGCGAAACATGAACGCGAGAGCAGCAAGCCTGCAGTGAGGGCATCTGTTACCGACAGCTGCACGTCATCGGCCTCACTGAAGTGTAGCAGCATTACTCCAATTGATGTCAGTGTGAGAGGCAGTTTGCAGAAGTGAAGGTGTGAGTACTCTGTATTACATGGAAGTTTGAAAAGTTTTAATCACTACCCATGAATTGAAAGACAAAAGTAAAAAAACGGTGTCTGGAGAACATGGAATTTAGAGGACTAAGCTCTCAAAGAAAACTGAAATCTTATGACAAACAACAGGAGCCCACACGTACGTCATTCATTGCGACATGTGCTGTGCACCTTCTTTTGCAGACCTGATTTGTCACCACCGCCGCTCAGTACAGTACTTCATCGAGTCTATGGACAAGAAGCGACACTGCCTATTCAAGTCGAGACCTTGTGAAAGCAAGGACAGTTTTCTGGATTCCAAGTGCAATCGTATGGGGCCTCCCGGCGAGATGGGTTATTTCAGCCGTGACGCTAAAGGCCGCGGAGCCCAGTTCCTGTGGACCAACAAAAACAACCCTTTCTGCAAGGCCTGAGCTCCTGTACGAGTGCAGCACCTTCTACTACAAAACACCGTCATACATTCCGGTGAAATGATTACACGAACAATCTTCGCGGCTTCATAAGTACAATATCGACAGCGAAAGCCGGTACGCACAGGAGAAGCTCCACATTGCATTTTTATCGCCTTCATTGATCTATTGAATAAACATAGTCAAAAATTGCCGTTCAGTCTGTGTGAATATGTACCGTGAAATGTGGTCCTGAAGAAACCTTTGATAACACTCACGTTGCCTATAAATATTTAAAAGCGCCTGTGTTATTTAATGAGTACTGTCCTGAAGGGCAAACTCTTCTGTCATGCAATGACGAAATGACGAAAACATGTAAATAAATCGTATATCCTGGTTGCGACGAACATTTTTGTAAATATTGGACATGCAACTAAATCTCTCTCCAAGCTGCTCATGGACTTTAAGGCTTGAAAAAGGGTTTAGGTTCCCATTGCAGGCTTCATAAATATGAATACTCATAAACCATATGAGAGCTTTCCACAAGTAGGACACATACTGCCATAAAAAGAATTCCCAAGGTTGAAACCAAACCTCAACCAATGCAATAATTTGAGCCCACACAGTTAATGGCATTAAAGCGCATCTACATTTCCCAAATGATTATTGATAGTCAGGTAACGAGGTGAGGAATGCTCAAACCCAATGGAAATTACAATGACACCATGGCGGTAGCGAATTTATCGACGAACGCTGATAGCCAACACGGTCACGCTTCTACGACTGCGTGGCGCCATGTAGAAGCAGGTGACCGAATAGCTGGATCATAACCAATATAGATGTGCTGATTAAACAAAACGAGACCACATGAACAGGATGAGCATTGATTACTTCGCTAGATCATGTCACTTAGAATCACAGCCAATTGGGAAGGAAGGAAGGAAACGAAACGCAGAAATCAGGAAGGTTAACCAAAAAAGCTTGATCACCATAGGCAGGGAATGGGCCAGTGCCAAAAAGTCAAGCATATACAAGGAGCGAAGAAGTTGAGCTAATATAGTTCAAAGTGGGCACATTGAGTATTAATTGGAAAGGAATGCACAGATGAAAGTACATGTATATAGCTCAAGCGTCGGTGCATGCTTTCTTGTGTGGATCTTGTTTATAGTGAACAAATGCCTTTCGTAAGCGTAATGTTCATCTTGTTCTCTATCGTTTCTTGTTCAATCTTTCTTGTTTGTTGTTTTGCTCTGCCTTGTTTCTTGAGGGATGAGTGCATTCATGTTTGAGGCGAATGAATGCCTCCGCCATAAACGTTTTAAGCCATTGATGGTTTCTCTTCATTCATGTTTGCTCAGTAATCTGCTCAGATACTAACTAGTAATGAATGTTTTAAACAATCACCCGACTGCAGCTGCGAGGCAAGGCTGTGCCTGGTTAATATAAACACAGATGACCACAACTCTACACCTACAAAATCAATGCAAAGCGGTCCTTTCCCCAACACTACAATAAAACTTGTCATGCTCTAAGCTCGTTTCAGGCCTTGCAAGGTATAATAATACTTCGCGATAAATCTACCAGAATACCAATCTTTATGTATAGAGTAGTTTGTTTATCGCAGAGCCTATATTTAATTAGAATAAGTGTCACAAATAGGTGATAATAAATAAAACCACGTGTTGGAGATGACTCCGAAAGACCAAAACTTCACAACGCAACCTTTTTTTTGTCAAGCGTGGCCGCAGGCAGAATAAGATGAATGAATAGCAGCAAGCAGAATCATTTATCTTTTATTTTTTATTTATATATTGTTACGGTTGAATTAAAGGATATGTGCATTTATTTACAGGCTGAGGATGAAGTTCGGAAGTCGCGGTAAAGATGGAGTCCTCAGGCAGCACCAGACAACGTCGTCTTCCTCTTCTACCTACCCGGCACATACTACAGCCGGGCTCATACCGTAGCAATCCCCGGTTCACAGACGAAGCCCGCTGGGCGAGTTTAAGTCACTGGAGGGATGAAATCTCTTGAGGCAAGCCATGTGCACCAACTGCATTCGATTTGATCAACGAGAAAGTGTCGTCAAGCGTGCCACAAGGTACGTAAAGTCAGTCAAGCGATCTACAATGACGTAGGGGACTGTGTACTGCGGTAAAAACTTCTGACATAAACCAGGTTTTCGTTGGCGGGTCCACAACCACACGAATTCACCTTTGCGGAATGAAATGGCATCATGGCGTTGATCGTGCCGTTGCTTGGAGCGATCTTGTGATGCCAGCGCGCGCAAGCAAGCAATTTGGCGGGCTTCTTCAGCCCGGCACAATGTTTCGGCCACGGACTCATCGGTATGGAGCTTTAATGGGAGGATTGTATCAATGGAGCCCCGTGTTGATCGAGCGTAGAGCAGGTAGAAGGGCATGAAGTCCGTGGTCTCGTGCTTCGCTGTATTGTATGCGTAAGTAATAAATGGTAAGATCTCATCCCAGTTTTTGTGATTGGATGCGACGTACATAGCGAGCATGTTAGTAAGAGTTCGATTGGTGCGTTCTACAAGACCATTCGCCTGAGGATGGTATGGTGTTGAATGTCTGAACTGTGAAGTGCAGAGGCGAAGCGATTCTTCCACAGCTTCCGCGATGAATTGGCGACCACGGTCACTGATGATTACTTGAGGTGGACCATGGCGAAAAACAACGGAGCGTAACAAAAAGGCAGCGACGCGATCAGCTGTAGAAGATGGTATCGCAGCGGTTTCGGCGTATCTGGTAAGGTGGTCGACGCACACTATTATCCAGCGGTTGTTGTTCAAAGATCGCGGAAACGGGCCCAATAGGTCGATGCCCACTTGCTCGACAGGCGTAGTAGGCGGTTCTACGGGGTGAAGAAGGCCCTGCGGTGCACTGGTAGGTCGTTTGTGACGTTGGCAGTTCTCGCAACTTGAGGCGTATTGTTTCGTAAAATCTTGCATTCGAGGCCAGTAAAAACGCTGCAGCGCTCGATGCAGGGTGCGAATGAACCCAAGGTGTCCTGACGTTGGATCATCGTGCATAGTACAGAGAACGTTGCATCGAAGACTTTGAGGTACAACCAGTAAATAACGTGCACCGGTTGCTGAGTAATTCGTTTTGCACAACAGTCCATCACGAATGCGAAAGCGACAACTGCCTTTGAGATTCCTAGCGTCAACGAACAAAGGGTCTAAAGATAAATCATTCAATTGTTCTCGTTTGAAGATATTGGCGGCAGGAAACGTGTGAGAGACCGCAGCAAAACAGATGTCGAGGGTATCTTCACTGTCCTCCGTCGTGGTGATAGGCAGGCGAGAAAGGAAATCAGCGTCCGAATGACGTCGTCCACTTCTGTACGAAACGCTTATGTCAAATTCTTGAAGACGTAAAGCCCATCGAGCAAGGCGGCCAGAAGGGTCTCGGAGGGTAACAAGCCAACATAATGAATTATGGTCTGTCACAATCGTGAATGAACGACCGTAGAGGTAACATCGAAACTTCTGAATGGCGAATACAGCCGCTAAACATTCTTGCTCTGTCACCGTATAATTCATTTCAGCCTTGCTTAGAGATCAACTCGTATAAGCAACAACATGCTCTGCATTATCATGGAACTGAACAAGCACGCCTCCGATGCCAATTCCACTTGCGTCCCTGTGCACTTCTGTAGGAGCAGAAGGATCGAAATGACGAAGAATAGGCTCAGATGTCAGTAGAAGTTTCAGTTCAGAAAATGCGGCATCCCAATCAGGTGTCCATTCGAATGGACTGTCTTTTCGCAACAAGCTCGTCAGTGGGTGTACTACGTTCGCGAATCGGGGCACAAAGCGGCGAAAGTAGGAACATAGGCCCAAGAAGCTGCGAAGTTCCTTCAGTGTCTGGGGTGGTTTGAATGTGCTGACTGCTTCGATTTTGCGGGGATTCGGCCTGATACCATCTTTGTCAACTAGGTTATCGAGGACTAAAGCTTGTAGTTCACCAAACTGGCACTTTTTAGAGTTCAAAATCAAGCCAGATGTTCCGACACAGTCTAAAACAAGGCTTAAACGGACGTTGTGCTGTTCAAAGGTACCTCCTATTTACACCTCCTATTTAGGACCACGAAGGACAGAGTCCATAAACCTTTCAAAAGTAGCGGGGGCGTTGCAAAGCCCAAACGGCATCACATTGAATTGGCACATTGCATCAGGCGTCACGAATGCGGTGTTCTCCTTGTCCTCCTATGGTATGAGCCGGGCTGTAGTATGTGCCGGGTAGGTAGAAGAGGAAGACGACGTTGTCTGGTGCTGCCTGAGGACTCCATTTTTACCGCGACTGCTGAACTTCATCTTCACCCTGTAAATAAATCCACATATTCTTTAATTCAACCGTAACAGTTTTGTGGTGGAGGCGCTGGGTAATCAACCAAGCAACACGACGCTTCAAGCGCCTGATCTACGACGAAGCCGCCGCCTTGCTGGACTGCCCCTTTTACCACTGGCAGCTGAGATGTCTCACGGCGAAGAAGGAAACGGGATCCCCACAGCTGCAGACCTTCTACCAGCCCCAGCAGCACCACTAGTGCCAGGTTCGCGTGCGGCTGGTCCCTGGTTGCGTCAGGATCTGATAGTCCCTCGCACATTCGGTGGCAAATCTGGTGAGGACGTGGACGCCTGGCTCACACAATACAAACGGGTGAGCAAATACTACCCATGGGACGCGGCGAACCAGCTGACCAATGTAGTATTTTTCTTAACGGACACAGCACTCGTGTGGTACGAGAACCACGAAGATGCCCTCACGTCATGGGATCGCTTCGTTTCCGAAATAAGAGCGTGCTTCGGAGACTCCGTAGCTAAGAGAAAGCAGGCCGAACAAACGTTACTACAGAGAGCTCAGATCGCAGGAGAGACGTGCACGACCTATGTCGAGGCAATCTTGAAGCTCTGCAAGATTGTCAGCCCTTCTATGTCAGAGGACGACAAAGTTGGCCACCTGTTGAAGGGCATTGCTGAGGACGTGTATCAGTTCCTC